GCTTTCTACTTAATCATTAACATACACCGTCATTTCTAAATAAGGCTGTTTTTATGACACTGCAGCAACCTTTAGACTTCCTCTTAAAAGTGCTTTTTCTATTTGAAATGTGTTTGCATTGCCAATAGAGGGTGACATTGTATCTCTTATACTCTTCGCTGGCCTTCTGCCTCTCTTTTTCTAAACACATTGGATCTATTATTGTATGCTGTTATAATGAAATAATACAACTTTCAGTGCAGATGTGTAAATGAGTCTGATGGTAATTTCCAGTGACAAAACAACTTTAAGAATTTGTTTCAAATTGTTTCCAAAAGTCATTAAAATGTATATAATATTGGCCTTTTTTGGTTTTAAAAAAGGTCTAAACATTTCCAAGAGTATTTGATTCAGACATTTATGCTACAATAGCAAACTGTCCAGATTTGTTTTTTAATGTTTTTAATGTAAAGGCTCCATTTGGGTGGAACAGATGGGGATGCCTTAGAGGAGATCTTTTATTTCTTGGTGGATCATCTAAATAAGTGGTCCTATTTCTTAGATTTCTTCCTAGATAAGTGTCTAGCAAGTGTATGAGAAGAAAAGAAAGGCTTAAGATGATATATATTCCGGAATGCTTTGCGCTGGGAGCATTCCTCACAATGCATTATGGGATTTGGTGTCACAGCGGCATGCTGTCGCCATAGGCTGTCCAGACCAATAGCGGCGACCAATAACAAAGATGGCGCAGGCACTGCATGGTGGAGGCAAGTTGACCAACGGAGCAAAAAGCAGTGATCATCTGTCCGAACGATCAGTTAGCTGAGTTTGGTATAAAGTCCACTATATAGTCCCCACTCTATATAGTAATTGAGGGATTTAGGGGTTAGGGCGGACGTTCGGACACAGTAAGCTTGTATGAGCGATGTAAATAGCAACTTTTAAACAGAGCGTGCACGAGCAGAAAGAGCTTGTGCATGCTCTCGTATGCGTTTAATAGGCATTCCCTCTCGGGAACAGGTACAGCGTTGCGCATGTGCATTTTATTCTCTATGTAGAGAGGTCAGGTCTTTTAAAAAATTTGTGAAAATCCTCCACAATACCTTTAAGATGGTACAAAAACCAAAGAAGCCTATAGAATGTATTTGTTGTCCAGAGCATCCAAAGAAAAGGCTGCACCGATTAATCATTGCCCCAGGTATGTTGTAAGCATCTCATTAAAAAACTTTTTAATTTAAGACAGTTGCTTAGCTTGATAAACACAGCTGGTCAGAGTCTGGAACATGTTTGTTTTTACATAGCTTATCAAGCCAATGTGGAGAAAATTTTTGTACATTTTTGTATTAACACTATACAATCCCTGCACAGGTATTACATTTCAAATTTTATGTTTTTGCAGATAAGTATGACTAGCTATGACAAAAAGGAAACTTGTTACTTTTTATCCAGCTATGCCCTCAAGACTAAGACTTTCCAGTACTTCACACAATCATATAGGATGTAACATTGGTGAGCTGTAGCTTTTTATGTCTAACTCTGAAGGAGTGGAAAGATTGTCAGTAGGTGCATCCTGGTGGAATGATAATAGGCCTGTAACTTCAGATGAACCTTCTGAGTGTAGCGCGAAGGCTAAAGAGCCACCTCTCTCTCCAAACAGATGCTGTTAGAGATAGTCTAGCTTCTTTTAAGTAGAAAGGTGAGTGCTGCGTAAGCTTCCTGCCTGTCTTTCATAGATAATCTGTTGTTACCTGACATGAGTAAGGTAACATTTTAAATATGGCATGATTGATATCTACTAACTTTGTTACCTACAGGAAGCCTTTGTCTGATAACGATCTTTTTGAAAACAGAAATGCTTTGGCCTTCTTATCTCTTACTTCTTTGATGGCGGTTTCTTAATAAGAAAAGCCAAAATACAAATAAACTTCTCGTATAATGCTATTATTTGTAGTGAAAATGTAAGGATGAGTGAAAATTGTCTTTTCTTATAGCGGACTAGAAAACTCAAGTCAAATTAAAAGTTCAAAACTAATGGTGCTCTGTAGAGAATCATCTTGGATTCATTTCACTTTAACTTGCTAAGATGTGGCTGCCCAGGTGGTAACTCAAGGATATGATTGTTTTCCAATCATTTAACACACCATCAAACAACAGCAGTGTCTGTTGTGATTGCTTTTACGAAGACAGTTATCCTAAAAGATGTTTTTTTTATTTTTGCATCAGTGAGGTGTTTCAATGTTAAATCCATGTTGTAAGAAGCTAATTTTAAAAACAGGCCTTTTTTTTAAAGTCGTATCCAGAAATGTTATCTTTTCCTTGGGTTTAGAGTAGAGTTTAGAGTAACCTCAAGTACTTTTTGATCACAGGATAGAGGATAATGAGCTCCTTATTAATATAGATAATATCTGATTCTGAAGTGTGCGCCCCATTATTTTGCACTACCAAAGTGCTGAACTTTTAAACTTCTTTTTTAATAAATATGGTGCATTTTGCACCATATTTATTTTGCACTGCACTTAACCTTTTCATATTAATGCCCTTTTTTACTATTATAGATTAAACTGGTTTCTTTTCTCCTACAAAGTTTACATTCTGATCACTGTACTTTATAAATGCTAATGTTCTTTTCACCTTTTCACTATTGCAAGCTGTATGAAACTGAATTTTATTTTGTATGCATACAAAATTACAATAAAGTTTGTCTAAGTCCATGTGTCTTTTACTAAAGATTAAATAAAACCTTTATTTTTCACAATTAAAAACTTTGCATTAACAGACTAAAACACTTCCTGTGAGTAAGAGAGGGTGTTGATACAAATGCAAATGCATGTCTTAGTGTGTAGGTTATCTCCTCCTGGCTTATATATCTTCATATGACACCACCAACTGCCCTTTCCTCTATTACTTTCCACGTTGTTTTTTTCCTCGAACTTCTCTTCTTCCTTCCTTGCTCTCCATCTGAAGGTAGTATGACTGTGTCCCCAGGCTGATGACAAAGGTTATCTTGTACTAACCATCTGTGTCTCTCTGACAACAACCGAAATGACTTAGGAGCAGGGTCCGCTCCAGGTATAATATGTCATAAGCGTTGAAATTCCTAAAACCACATTGGCGTTACTGTTAGTCAGAGTCCTGGCTTTAAGGTCTGCAAATTAAACTGCTAAAAACGTCTTAGAATCTGGGCTGCCTTGGCTTTTTGAGAGCACAGTCTTTGTTTTAGGAATTTCTTGACCTGTATCAGTCCCATCAATACACTTAAAACAAAGCAATAACACAAATCAAAATCTTATACGAGATGATTTTATCAGCAGACTTATAGCAAAGTGGGTAATTCCTAATTTATTTTACATAGATACAAAAACTGCCGTACAGTGTCAGCTTCGGCCTAAAGCAACAAATGTACTTTATTTATCTAGCATATAAAGCTAAATATATTAACCCTACTGAACATCTTTAATGTACCTCTATAATTTTGCCGATGTAATATATCCAGGTTTACTTCAAATGGCAGAAAAGCAAGATCATCAAAAAAGTGATTGAAAACTTCCTTTAAACTCATACAGGCCTTTCATCACTAGTTTTGAAGCAGCATAATGGATGAGGTTGGATTTATGATCTTGGAGCTTCCTTCCTTAGTGGGGAATGGAGGCTGGAGTGTTGTGAACTGTGCCAATCTATGGTCAAATTTGCATTTGAGCTATTTTTTCCCTACTGTCAGGTAGCATTTTATTCTTACGCCATTATACAGTAGTTTAAGTCAGAAACATGTTTGAGATAACTTATGCGTAACTTGACAAGAACCTATGCACACGTTACTCATAGGTTTTGGATAAGCTACACACCACGACTTATGAGTAACTTACAGTACACTTAACGATCAGTAGAGTATACGCTGGCATACTTGCCCTATGTCGACATGTGCCAGTGTGCTTCAGTGTCTTCATAACTTATACAAAGTTGACCCATGACTTATCCGACGTACGCCAGCATTTTTGCAGTGGCTTTACCAAGGAAATATTTTTTTTTCCTACTAGAGCAGGCGTCTCAAACTGGTTCCAGAAAGGGCCATGTGGTTGCAGGTTTTCTTTCCAACAAAGCAGTAGCACACCAGACTGCAATCACATCATCAATTAAGTCTAGTTTTAACATGATTACTTGAGACAAATGGACTCAGGTGTGCTACTGCTTGGTTGGAAAGAAAACCTGCAGCCACACTGGCCTTTCTGGAACCAGTTATAGACGCCTGTATTAGAGTAAATTCTTGGATGATTACCTTCTACTTTTACATGAAAGTAAAAGTAGTGCCACTCTTATTTAAGTAAAACTTTGCCCAGGTACATCTCCAAGATCCTGGGATTGCATAGTACCATCCCTGCAGAGGATATTCTTGTGGCTGAAGGGTTTGTATGGGATGAAAAAGTCTCTCATCAAGACAATGCTCTAGTTTGAAACTCCAGGCTACTGAAGAAATTACTTTTCAACTTCATTGTTTTTGTTTGTTTTTTAATCTCTCCAGATCTAAAACCACCTGAAAACAGTTTGGGATTGATTGGAAACTGTCAGTTTCAGACGGTTAGTGTCCTTTAACAAGCCCACTGAAGTTCCTCCGCTGTTGCTCTTCTTTGTACAACTACTTAGCTTTGAGAAGACTCCTATAGCTAATTACTATATTATTATAGAAAATGCTAGACATGGGAATTGGAAATCTCTGAGTTATGGTGAAATTCTACACTTATAAATAAACAAAGACTGTTTATCACTGGAAATATCAATGACTCTGCTGCTTTTTTCTTGTATCCGATGCTGAAGGGAGTTTATTTTCATATTTGTTTTTGTTTTAAAATAAATACATCCTGGTCCCTTTCTCACACACGGCAGGACTCCATCTCCACTCAATATATGTAATTAATGCCCACATTTTGGAGGAAGGCACGAAACCTTGTCTGCATTTTTAGTAACAAAAAAATAGAGTCCATTAAAAGCTTTAGGAAAAAATGAAGGTGTAAAAAACGAAACAAGAATTAGAGTAAGAACATATTTAATTTTACAAACTTGACATACAACAATAGAATCCAACTGGTAAAAAGCTGAGTATTAAACTATGACATACAAAACAACAGTCTAGCCCCTAGATGAAGATAAAAACAAGTGATACCTATAACAAGATTATTAAAATCATACTGAAAGGCAAACCCAGCAGAAGGCCAGGATAACAGCACCTTGTTGTGTTAAAAACACAAGCCAGAGAAGTGTAATTGGAGCAATCATGTTTTTCTCCTGTGCTTTTACCCCCATTGCATCTACAGTTAACAGTTATAAAGTTTAAATTCGGTCCCACATTGAACTAAATGGGATGACATCTAGTCTCATGTCATGGCACGCATTTGTTAATGTAATTGTGTAAAATGTTGAAGGTCATACAGTCGGATAATTAACCACCACCTGTCATTGCTTTTAGACCACAGGCAATAGAAATGCATTGCCGTGCCATATTTAAGACACGGCTATCAACCAAACATTGCAGGTCAGTTAAATAATATGCTTATAAACACCACTGCAGATTTCTACTTACTAATTGTTTATGTTAAAATAAGGAAAATAACATAATGCTAAATGCTGTTTCTTTGTCAGTAAGTAAAAAACATAAGGTACTGTACTTCAGGTACTTTTAAAGGGTCGAAATAAAAAGCTTAATAATAATCTTCCAGCAATTCTGTATTGTAAGGCAAATAAATAAAATAAACAATACTGTACACAGGTAACAATTCTTTCCTGAATCTTAAGGATATCACATCGTTTCAGTAAAATCAAAGACAAATTGTAGCACCAATAAGTTTGAAAGTCGGTTCACACAGATATGCTCAGTCTCGAAGTAGCTTTCTCATGTATGATGTTTTGTTTTTCAAAGGCATTCATCTCTAGAAGTTATAACTTTCAGGTATAATCTTATTTTTATGGTGGGTTTTTAGTCGTCATTAAATTATTAAACACATCCCTTTCTTTGTCATTATCATTTCTACACCAATAAAGAAAAAGAAGCTAACACTTGTTGATACCTTGGATCACTTATCCACTTTTTGTGCAGCAGATGTTTGGTCTTCTATGTAGAAGTCATCTTTCCTGTTAACTTGCATCTCATAATTTCCTTCCTGGAATTCTTGTCAGATTTGCATTCCACTTCATCCCTTTCTGTCAGAATCAGACCATTCAAATGCCCGGCATCAAAGAAACAACGCAAGCCACTTCAAATCTCTTGCACATTGAATTTTTCTCAGTGCTTGCCACATGCTTATAAGAAAACATTTTTTGTTTTTCTTTTTTGAGCATGAGCATTAATATAGTCCCTTGGCTATCTAGCTACATATGCACCACCAGCAGTCACTTAGAAGGGTTATAGGTTTGAATTTGAACAAGAGTGGCAGCACTGCTTGCCATAGAACTTGTGGTTGCAGACTCCATGTTGGGGAACCAGATAACACCAGCTGAAGTAATCCCTGCAAGCCAGATCTGAGGAAAAACAAATACGAAGACAGACTCATTGTTGAAACTTTGTTGTTGAAACATTTGAGAAGAAATCTGAAAAAGATAGGCTCAGTACCTTTCTTCTCTGGCTGTGGACAGAAGTTAGTGTTGCAGGCCTGAGATGATGATGGTCGAAGATGAAGGACACAGCTGGTAGAAGGTTTTCCCATGATCTGGCACTGCACTGTCCTGGCCTGCACTCCCCCTCCACATGTTACTGAACACTGTGAAAGAAAAGCAGTACCTCCCATGAACACCATGAATCAACAGTTGCAAAACTTTACAAACATTTACCACCTAATCACTTCTACTATTGCACTAAAATCCAGACAGTACATTGGAGCTTTTTACCAAAAATCACCAATCACTGTCTTTCTAATCGTTTTGTGATCCTACCTGAGACCAAGGAGATGAGTTCCACTCTGGTGATGGTGGAGCTTGAGGGAGGGGCCGAGGTGGATCCGGGTGATGAGGGGTTCTCCATTGGTGTACAGGAGGAGTAGTGCGGGTAGGACAATCAGCCAATAAGCATGGCCTCTGGAGTTCCACTTTGGGTTTGGGGACATGGTAGCACTTTCTGTCCGTGAGCTCTCTGTATTTCCCTGCAGCATCCTGTGATTTGAGAAGTGGTACATAAATAAGCTTAAACTGATTTAATAATCTTCCTAGCAAATTAAGGGACAGTCAACCACTGCAAACTTTACTAAATACTAAAGAGAAACACACCTTTTCAGCACACTTGATAAAGCGTGCCTGATAACCCCGACCACAAGTTGCTGAACACTGAATGTTCACACCAAATTATAGAAAGAAAAAAAAACAGATCATATTAGCACAAAAAGTAATAAAGCTTGTTCACAAATACAGCAATATTTAGCATGTAACAAATTTACCACTATTCTTCATGTGTGCTATTGCATTACCTCCTGCCATGTAGAGACAAACCACTGGATTTTACGTTGTTTCTGACAGCGTTTGATGAAGCAGGATTCTTGAGTGGCAGGTTTCTGCAGGTCTGCACACTCGCTGTCAGGCAGTGTTTGACTTTTAGCACCTGGGTTGCTGCTGGTGCAAAATACACTCCTCTTCTTTAGACCATGGCCACACTTCCGAGAACACTACCCAACAAAAAACATCGGAAATGAACATGTTAGGGGTCTTATGCAATGTGATATGGCTCAAAATGACAAACATGTCATTAATTTCATCATTACTGCAAGAAAAAAGTTTGATAAAATAAACAATATTTCTATCTCGATTACAATTTTTGGGTTAGTGGCCGGGGGCAGTCCCCTAACTGGCCCACTCTTTTCCAGCATAAGGCACAGGGTCAGCCAGGAGCCAGGACTCAAGGATCTGCTGGCCTAGCCAGGATTGCAGGAGCCACAAAGGCCCAAGCAGGTGCCTCCAGCCCCCTCCTATACACCCAGACTGACTCCAATCCCTTAGCCCCCCTCCCAGAGCCAGATCCTATTCTTGGCCTACCGTAAGGTACTGATAAAATATAAATAGTTACTCACTGTAGTTTAAACTAATGAGTTAAATCCCTGCTTCATTCATATAGATTCAATTCTAAATCACTTTCTCTTCAACAAACAAAAAAAAAAATTCCATAGTAAATAGAAAAAGCTATTTCTATTCGTAGTAATACTGGATGTTGCGATGGTATTTTTGAAAAATATATCTTTTCTCTATTTGGTGAGCTCTCTAACTCTCAGATTCAAGATATGGACATGGATGGATTACTAAGAGATCATTGATATCCTTGTCATCGAAAGAAACAAAAAAATACCTTAAATCCAACAGTTTTAACAATCTTAAAGGCACACTATGCAACATTTTTCAGTTAATTAATGTGTTCCATAACGTTTTGGATGATTAAATGAGTCATTTCAGGTTGAACAAAGGTATTCTCGGCCGCCCTGGTGGTCTGTGGGGGAAATACCGCACTTGCAATTGCAGGAGCCCTCGGCCCGCACCCACAGGCTCAGAAGTATCGCGAGAGTCGGTCTTGCTTTACGGCGAGAACTGCTACACGCCCCCAGTTAAAAGCATGCTCGTTGCTAGCACAGTGGCGATCTTTGTGCAGTTATCATGGCGGAACCAGCGTGAAAACAGCGAAAGCCCATGTCGGAGCAGGCAAGAAAGAGGAAAAGGGCTCTGGATAGAGAGAGGAGTCGTACACGGGTGAACATCGGGCAAGCTTTTTCCGAATGGCGAGAGCTAAAAGAAAAAGAAGGCTGCAAGGCTGACGCGGACCTCGCGTTTCTGCTGATGCGATTGTAAGTAACATTGGAATGGTTTCTCTCTCTCTGTGTGCATGTTCATACTTTCCCTGTGTTAGTCATTCGCTGCGTTCGCCTGTCTGCTAAGCTCAAAACAACCGCACCTGGCTTGACGGAGAAACCAGGAGAACAGCTGTGCATATTTACAACAGTGCACTTTTACTTTCGCCCTCTGGGGGGAGCCTCGCTGGAAAATCAACACCGGTTGCATAGTATACCTTTAACTGTAGAAGTGTGAACATTTTATTGCCATTACTGAAGTATGAGATCAGGACTTTGTATTGGACCAGCAAAAATATTAGCCAAGTAAAATACGGTATAAAAGCCGAGGTTCACACAGCATTCCTATGTTTGGACCTCCTTCTGCAAGATGTGGCCCAAATTCTTTTGCTCTAAAAAAAACAAAATCTTACATTTACTGATAACAGAAGTTGTTGTTTTTTTACCCTCAGTGAATAAAGCATTTACATTCTCACCTGAGACCATGACCCAGTGGTCCAAACTGGTGGGCAGCTGTGTGTATTGCAGGCTTGTCTCGTTGTGGGTGCTGAATGTGGACACTGAGAATTTGGCAGGGTGTCTACGTTGCTCTGACTGGTTTTCTGGACACAATGAACCTGCCGCGTCTGCTCCCCTCCTCCGCAGTTCCTGCTGCATGCACTCCACTCTCCTGCAGACCAGCTGGGACAACACAACACGAGTTCACTGAGTAAACATACACAGCTCTTCCATCACCTCCTAAGACAAGCCTAGTGGATTCATGAATGAGAGCATGTTAACTGCACAATAATAGCTGTTGCAGAGGACCACCTATGTTGCTTCAAATATCTTTTTTTTTATTTGAGAATATTTCAGAAGAAAGGGGAATGTCATTCTTGCGTGTGGCATTTTAAATGTCTTGTTGACATCAGCTGATTTAGTCCTACGCTTTATGGCGGTTTCATCAATGACATCAATAAGTGACACTTGAAGACTTACTGCAAAGGGTGTAAAAATATAGACTGGACTTCTTATGAGTCCAAACAGACTAACTTATTTAAAAAAAAATTAACCCTTCACCCCATTGAAGATCAATCAGTCCCAGTAGCCAAAAGATGTAGTTAAATTGACTATATAAAATCAATTCATTGAATAATCAAGAACTCAAAGGCTACTCTGAGTCTAACTTATTAACTCATTAATAAATAGAAACGTAACGTGAGCTTCAGCAGCAGTCTGTAAGTGTGGTTTAACCATGAGTAAGGGTCAAACTCTAGACAGAATTGCAAGGGTCAGATGTCCAGTGGAGAATGTGTCAGGTGCCTCTGTGTCGACGTACCCCAGTGGCATTAAGAACCGCTAACAAGTGTTTATAGCTTTCCTGCTGTGTGTGTGCTGGTCATCATGTAGGTTCAACTTTCACGAGGTGATATCATTAGTTTTTTTTTCCTTCGACAGTCCAAGCCTACAACCACACTATGAATCACTGTGATATCATGTGATACTTAAAAGTGGGCATCAGTAACTACTCCCCATGACATAATGTGCATAAGAGTCCAAAGCACAGGGAGAAGACTCAGCTAAATTAAACTACAAGACCTCAAAATAGTATTAAATGTACAGAGCCACTGATAACTAGAGATGCCACATCTAACCCTGCATGTGCATTGTATTCAGCGTAATGTTTATTCTCTCCTCACAGTCGATACAGCAAGGGGTGAAAAAATATTATTGATAACACTATTCTTGTCTCTCTGGAATCAGTGAAAGAATAAAAAAAAACATTGACATACAGAAGAACAATGGTGAAGTTATATAGCCCATACATTTCTTTAATAGTGCTAATTTTAGACCCAAAAGTACAAAAAAGTCCCTTTTACTAAAGAGCTCCTCAGTAACCTGGAGTAACCTAATTATCAAACAGTCCACTTGTATGTAAACAATTCTATAACAGCCTCATAGGTAAATGAGCGCACATTAGGAAACTAACTGAATCATATTTAGTAAAACACAGGAAACTGGTAGAGGGGAGGCTTACTTTGGCCTTTACCATATTCAACTGTTAACTGTGGATGCCTTGTTTATTATTGAACATTGTTGTATGTGTATATGCAGAGCTATGTAGAATCAGGTTATTCTAAAATACACAAGCTGACCCGATTGTGAATGTGCAACCGATGTCAGCAGAATGTATTTCTGCTTTGAGTGGCTTGAAGGTATAGCAGAGTAATCCAAATTCCCAATATTTTGAAGAGAAAAAGTTCAAAATCAAGAGTAAAAAAGTGCCAAAAATATTTATCCAAAGAGGAATAAGACACAACTAGCTCTTGGAATACAATTAGAGAGTCTGAGGTTATTTAAGCCAGAGCTAAAGCCTTGGAAGCTGACAAATGTGTGAATGGGTACTGCTAGCAGATGACGGCAGTGTACAATAAAGTTTGTGTCTGCTGAGCACACTTGGTTCAAAAGTTCTTTTCAGGTTAAAAAATAATGAGTTAAACACCATCAAAACGAATGCATGACTTGTATTGATTTATTTTAACATGAACATATGTTTTTTGGTGGTTTCCTTTATAAGTACACTGAGTAACTTGGTGCCTTTAAACTAAAGCTCACAAGAAAGTCCCTCACCACCTCCCTGACAATGTGTATTAGAGTAAACCTTCACCTTATGTCCTGTTGAGTGAATAAGTTATTAGATGTACTTACAATAAGTCATTTTTTTGTCCAGATTTACTGCTATCTTTAGGCTGTTTTTTCTGCTCTGCTTCCACCTGTTCCTGTGTGCACCAGGCTTCTCCTTTCCCACTGAATCCATAGCTGCTCTAATTAGTTATTTTCCCAACTGTTGTCATGTTCTAGGCTCTCAATGCAACTATCTGGCTAATAAATGAAGCAGGCCGACGATCCCCAACTGTACAGCACTTCTTAACTTATTCAGACTGCACAACTGTCTCTGTGCATAATTGTGCATTTTTTTCACCATCTGATTCCTTGACTCATTGCCAGCAAAAAAAAATAAAATAAAAATCGGAATGTTTTCAGATAAAATTCTAATGCCTTTAGCTTAATTTATCTTTTAAACAGATATATATCCTATACCTCTAAAAGTTTTCTGACATGAGATCCAGAGCTATTCAGAAAACATTTTTGACTAAAACCCTGTAATCCAGGTGTAACGACATGGTTGCTTTAGCATTTGATTGAATTTGACCATCTATTTTAACAACAATCCCAAAGAGTAAGCAACAGATAGACAATTTTGACTATAGCTTGTTCATATTTTAGAATACTGCAGACAGACAGACCAATGGCAAAAACTGTGATTGTTGGGAACTGACATTTACAGATGTTCTACATCTAATCTGATTGAACTTGTTCTATAAAGCAAAAATGATGGAAAAATTCTGATCTTAGATGTGCAACGCTGGTAGAGACAGACCTAAAAAAAAGTTGTAGACCTAATCATGGCTCTACACCGCACTGTGTCAGAAGGGCCACATATGATTTTGGATTTGTTTTTTTTAACCAGTGTTTTTATTTCTTTCAAATTTAACTGTTGTTCTATCTTGATCATCATAAAAAAAAAAAAAAAAAACTTGAAATACATTGAGAGAGTGGCTGCAGGGTCACAAAAATTGCAGAAGTTCAAGGGGTATGAATACATATGGGAGGCCATGTCAGTTCAGCTACAAAAAATTATATCTAGGGAAATTGTCACAAAGTGAAGAGTTAAAAAAAGCTTATTCTGTCATCTATGAATTGTAGCTTATAGTATTATTATAGTATAGTATTATTAAATCTTTAGCATGCATTTAGGTTGGCAATGGTTGTATAATAGTGGTGTTGTCAGATTAATGGTTTAAATAATCTTGTAAACACATTCTTGAATTGAAAAAGTCATTAACCTACAATTAGTCTATAATCATGTTGACGATCCCTGGTTTACAGCTATTTACATGCACACAAACACGACTTATAAACACAGATGCATGTCCAAGCACACCTAAGCAGCTAATGGTTTAGATAATGAGGAAGATAGAGCCCAAGAGATGAGTGTAAACATTTGTGGGATTTCTTTACAGGCACTATCACTGCTTCCCAAAGTCTGTGTAAACACACCGATCCATTAGTGAGTAAATGCTGATCCAAGCTGTGTCATCTGGTAGGAGAAAGTGGAGGGCAGGAAGGGAAATAAAGTGGGGAGAAATACGAGAGAACATCCAAATCTAAGGTAAACAACCAGTAAAAGGGAAGAAGACGTGTCGGTAGATGTGAGTGAGAGATATGTAGATTGTTATGGATGATTAAAAACACAGACTCTGGGACAAGCACAGCAACAGAATGTCAGAAAGACACCACACCTCTGAGGGCTTAAAGGTACAGCTCCACAATCACTCCTAAGACTGAATGACAGTTATCCGTGACTTAGTGCCAGCTGGTAAATGTCTTTGTGTGCAGTTAGACAAAGCTGGACAGGACATAAAGGAGAAAAAAAAAAACAGCTTCAAAGGACCCAGGCCATTAGACTTATGTTTACAGCTGAGCCTAAAACCACTGAGATAATGGACACATCAGTGGGGGTCTTACAACAGGTTGTGTATGTGAACAAGTAGAAGTTGGTTAAGTCCTCCCCATTGACCTCTAAAGGCCAAACCATATGTTAAGATGCTAAGATTGAACCACAAACTGGATGCCTGTGCTTTTCTATTCTAAAATGTTTAGTTCCATTGCTTCACAGTTATTCATTTAAAGTTAAAAGCCTAATTTAATTTTTCACTTTCACTGTGGCATTGTAATATAATAAAGTATATAAACTCAGTCTGTGTACGTTCAACATTCTTATGTTGTAATATGCCAATTTGTGTGATATGATCTATACAAGGATGTCATAAACCAGCATAGCTTATATAACAAAGTCAGTCTGTTTTGATAGAGTTTTTTTTTTTAGGATGTTTGAAATGACTAAAGCTTAGAAAACAGAAAACTCAATTAACAAAAGCTGTACTGTTGCATTGTTTAATTATCCTGCAATTACCAGGCCCTGTTTACTGTGGCCATCCACAGAGTTGAAAAGATGTAAAAAAAAAAAAACAGAAAGAAAAAAAAACAAAAAAAACAATTCAAAATACCTACATAGGTTAAACCTAAAGATGAAGATGGAAGTAGGGCTGAAACAATTAATCTGATTAATAGTGAGAAATCTATCAGTTAATTAATCATCAACTAATTCAGTAGTTGATTAAGCGTTAAATGGAGTATAGAATATACATTTAGCTGACAGAGCATCCCACTTAGAGCAGAGCAATTATATCAATATATCATAAAAAAATATCTAAACATTTGGGATCCAAGATAAAAATAGAGAAAAAAAGAGAATGTGTGAATTGTTTTCTATTATTACCCAACAGATGCACAAGTTGTTGGAGTCCCCCCCCCCAGCTGAAGCTGGATTACTTCAGAGTTTTGCACTACGGTAATAGATTCTGTATTCAAAGAGTAATCAAAGGATCTATTATTTGTGCTACTGTATTTTATAACTTAAACCAGTCTCCCACTATTTCTAAGCCCATGTGGCATCAAGACTGTTGCCCTATTTAAAGATACAGTGGGGAGATCGAGGAGAACATCCAATTAGGTAACACAGTAAAGGGAGAGAGTGTCGGTAGCATTGAGTGGAGTTTTATTGTTAGGAGATTAAA